TTCACTGCTGCTCCCCACTCCAAACGGGGCTCCGAGCTCGAATTTCGGCTTCCCTGTAGCTCACGGGGGGGCTGGGGTGGTTGTCCCCATCCCCTGGTTCCCCAAGCTGGGCACCCTGGTCTCAGGCTTATGTAAGGGGAGGATTTCGGTAGGTTCTTGGTGTGAGGTGTCTCTGATTTAATGAATTATCCTTTCCCTAGCTTGCCAAGCACTTGTAATAATTCCTTTTACATCTACGTGGCTGTGTGGCGGCTTAGCGCAGGTTTAGCTCTGAAACTAAAATAAGAATCAGAGGGCCGGGCTGGTCGGGGATGGGTTTTTACTGGTTATTGCTAAATGGGTTTGTCTGGGGCGATGGCTGTTGGGGATGACGTAACGCTGAATTCCCAATAAATAGGGAAAAATGACTTATTTGGATACGTCAGGGATTAAGAAAGCACAAAAGATTGTTCTGCATCCCGAAGTATTTCGGCAAAAGGCTTTCCTACCTGGGATGGTGCCTTGCGGCTGCCCTGCGCAGGTGTGGGTCTGGAGCGGCTCTTGTGGTGGCTGTCCCCAGAGTGCCAGGGTCAGGACTGACTGTACCTAGAGAAGGTCGGAAAACAGCAGTGCTGGACTTCACGCGGATCCTGGTAGGAGGAGGGCGGCTGTATGCCAGGCGGCTGATGGATTTTTTTTTTTGAGGAGAAGCTGCAGCAATTCAGCTTGCTCGGGTTGGACGGTGTGGTGCAGGGAGGGTTGGAAACTGCACTCGGTGCTGTCGGGCTTTCTCCCGTGGGCCAGTTGTCTCCTGGATTCCTGTGGCAAGTTGAGTGGCTTGTGGAGTTGTGATGCATATTGCGTGGCGATTGCTGCAGAAATGGGCTGGTCCTTGCGATGCGGGAAGGCACCATAAATGACAGTAGCGCTGTGGGGAGCCCCTTTCCCTGCTCCGGCTCAGAGAAGGGAATAATCGGGCGAGTAAGGTGCTCGTCATGAGGCCTTGCAGCAAAGCAAGACTTAAATGCCGTAGTGAAGTCTAGACGTGAAGCTTGTGAAGGTGCATCTTCTTGCAAAGGGATTAGTGAATGACAATGATGTTCAAATAAGTTATGTGATGACCTGAAGAAAAAAACAAGCGTGAGTGGTGTGGACAGCCTGTTGTGAGCGGGGACTGGCAGCCGTGGCCTCCCAGCTAGCTGTAGGTCAAGCCAGCCTTTCTATATACTGCAGGGTGTCCAGTTGCCTGGAATGCATTTGGCAGTGACTGGATATTCCCGTTACCAATTTAGACCAGAGATGTATGCGAGGAGCTGTTCTGATGTGGTTCAAACGGGCAAATGTCCTTTCTACTCCAGCTCGACGCTGGAGTCTGTCAGAGGGGGTGAAACCGCGTCCCACAAGCCCAGCTTTAACAGCCTGGAGACACGACTGTAGCGGTGGCAGCAATTACTTGAGCAGGGGAGGGCGTGAGATGGGCTTGCGCAAGGTGCGTGCTGCGCTAGATGGGCCGACGGTCTCACTGAGGAATTTGTGGGGGATGAGGATCTCCGGGAACGGCACTTGGTACAGAAGCATGGCACGCTGTGCCTCCTGTGCTGTGTCTGAGCCAGAATTACTCGATAGACCTCTTTGGTGGTGGAAGCTCTGCTTAAGTGGAGCGAGTTCTGCTTTGTGTAAGCCCTCTGTAGTGAAGCTGTCATGCCTTCACAAGGAACGGATGACCAGCTCTTTAAAAATGGAACCTAATAGTATCTTAGCTTGAAACACACGCCAGGGCAATGGTACACATGGACTCCTGGCCTTGCAGAGAAGGATAGCGCGTACGCTTTCTCAGGCTGCGCAGAGAGCTTGGTCCCTCCGGCGGTCTTGTTTGCTGATCCCAGCTTTGGGCAGTAAACCGAGACTGAAATATGTGGCTTAACACGATTTGGCATCAAGGTGCAATAGGCTCCTACAGAGCTCAGCAAAAAAGCCTTTTCTGCCCTGGCTTGCAGTTGGCATCTGTTTTTCCTGGTCTGTGTTGCACAGAGCTTGGATTTGATGGTTGTAACGATGCTGACTGCTTTGGTAATGCTTTCTCTGTTGCAGAAGTGACGCGGTTGTGATTTCTGGGAAGAAGCTGGCCCAGCAGATCAGGCAGGAAGCCCGTCATGAGGTTGAGCAGTGGGTAGCAGCTGGAAACAAGAGACCTCACCTCAGCGTTGTTCTTGTCGGTGAAAATCCAGCGAGTCACTCCTATGTACTGAACAAAACCAAAGCAGCTACCGATGTTGGTATGTCTTCCACTCTGTTCCAAAAATGTGGAGCAAGCGACTGTTTTATCTTGCTTTAGTGGGGCTGCCCTCTACGCTGGGGGCTGGAGGAAGCTTTTTGGGATGCATCCATCTGGCAGCTCTTGCCCTCAGCTGCATGGCAGTCCTTGTTTGCCTCAGCATTTGCCGTGACTTTTGGCTGCCTTCGCTGTTGTACTGGGATGTAGTTAAACAACACAGTTCACGAGTGCATTGTGCCATTTGACTCCTTTAGGGCAACGTCAAGCTCCGCAGTTTGGATTTGCAGTTTTTCTGAGGCCGTATAAAGCACAGACAGGGCTCTGATTTGCTTTCTTTCCTCAACTGCCTGAGATGCAATCATTGTTCAGCAGCCTTGCTACCCCGTGACTCCTTCCAGTCTTGCAAGCTGAGGTCCTGCTTGGTGTTCAGCCAAGTATGCTTCTGGAGAAAATGTGCTGAAAGGGGCTAGGGGGGCAATAAATGGCTTCATTTCTCCTTGGGTTCCATGCTGCTGAAGCCTAAAAAATCTCAGCTCCAAAGAATGCTAACAACCCCTTCTTCCTGTGTCAGGAGGGACCGCAGGACGTGCGGTTCCATCTTCATCATAGCACACCTTGGTTGGGTTTCTCCAAGCCCTGCCTGCACTTGGAGGGTCTCTGCTTTCAAATAGTCTTTCTCAGGTCATTAGACCGATACTAATGGTCTTAACCATAAGTCACAAGACTTGTGAAGGTCTCAAGCCTGGACGGTGCTCGTGGTTACACAAAGCATACAATCCTTGGTGTGTGCCTGTCAGATTTGGTAGAGCAATGAAACAGGGCAGCTTAAATTCACATAGGATTAAGAAAGTTGCCCTCCCACTTGTGTACACGTGGCTCTCTAATGTGGCGCTCTCAATGATTGCGCAGGAATCAGCAGTGAAACAATCCTCAGGCCGGCTTCTATTACTGAAGAGGAGCTACTGGAGTTGATCAGCAAACTCAACAATGACGCCAATGTGGATGGCCTGCTAGTGCAGCTTCCTTTACCCGGTGAGTAGCTAGATTTCCATCCGTTTCATTTTTACATAAAGCTTTTAAGGGTTTGTACGTGCCAGAAGGAGTAGCAGCACAGGGGCTATCCCGTGACACGGACACGAGAGGTGGCACTCTGCCACGATGCGGCTTAAAGAAGTTGATGCAGCTACTCCATCACACAGCTGCCTGTATGAGTTAGGTCACTGGGTGTCATGGAAATCTATTCTTGTGTAGGGAGTATTGGCTTCCAGAGCCAGAAGCTTGAACTTGGTTGTGACACTGAGGCTGCTTAAAAAATACCCTCTCGGCCTTAGCGATGCTGTGGTCCCAAAGTGGTTCCAGTCCCCTTCTGCTGGGAGCTGTTAGCCTCGAGCTTGCTGCAAGTCTTGAGTAGCTTCAAGCTTCCAAACTCTGAAGGAGCAAGTCAGGGCTCTGGCTGACTGCAAAGAGCAGGTTTTTGGCTGATCCCTAGGCTTAAAGCTTTTTGTTCTCTTCCAGAACATATCGATGAGCGCAGGATTTGCAACGCTGTGAATCCAGACAAAGATGTTGACGGCTTTCATGTGATAAACGTGGGGCGCATGTGCCTCGACCAGTACTCCATGCTGCCAGCTACCCCGTGGGGGGTGTGGGAGATCATTAAGAGAACTGGTAAGCTGCTGCAGTATTTGGCTGCTGTCTGGCATAAACTCCAGCTTGTCTTTGTCTTAAGACTCCATCTTGTCCTCTGCAGGCATCCCAACGCTGGGGAAGAACGTGGTGGTGGCTGGCAGGTCGAAGAACGTGGGCATGCCCATCGCCATGTTGCTGCACACGGATGGCAGGCACGAGCGCCCGGGAGGTAGGGGCTTGGCAGCCTCGGAGCCTGCGTGCCAGGCAGCTGTGGAAGGAAGCCCTCAGCCCCTCACGCTGGCCTCTTCGGGCTCCTAAACCAGTCCCAGGAGCACCCTAGGGACTCGGGGCCCGTCACGTGGGCTGTGGTCAAGGCTGAGGAGTTAACTCCGCACGTAATCATTCTTGTGATGTTTCGGAGCCTTCTTCAGTGAGGCCTTGTCCTCTTCCATCCCAGATCCCTCACTCTGACTTTGTAGGCTGTTCCCTGGGGTTGTCATCAGGCTCTGATGTTCCCAATAAACACACGGGTGGGTCTTGAAGGGGAAGATTTGGCAAGTGGCTGGGTTTGGGTATCACATGTGAATTAAAGCTCCATGTAACCCTCTCGCAGGCGATGCCACGGTCACAATATCCCACCGCTACACTCCCAAGGAGGAGCTGAAGCAACACACAATCCGTGCCGATATTGTGATAGCGGCAGCAGGTAAGACCCGACTCTGACAGCACGGGCAAGGCACACGGAGGGTTTCCGATGGGAATCCTTGCTTGCAGGAGATGATCCTGTTGGTATGGAATGTCCTGGGGGCCTCCCTATCTGAAGCAGCTCTGGCAGCGTAGGAGAGTGGTGGTAGGAGAGTCTGGTGCTGTCGGCAGCCGCCGGAGGCGAGGGGGACGGGGCGAGGGCTAGGACAGCGGGTGAGGGGCTGTTTGAGCCAGCCAGTTTATCTGTGATTAAGCCTAGGAGCTGCTTGCTTGATCTCCCTAGCAGAGCTGTTTGTAGCTCTGCCTTTGAAATGTAAAATAACATCTGGCAGGAGGGCTTGGTAGGCCAGCAAGCACCTGATCAGCTCTAGAGAACAGCTACAGGTGGGCTCTGTTACACATGCAGTTCTGTATTTATGTGGGGAGGAGAGGAAAAAAAATAGCGAGATTGCATCTGCTTACCGAGAGACAGTCAAAATGCTGAGGGATGGCTGCAATGGCATCTTGGGAGCACAAGGAATCGCTCGGAGGTGTGCTCTTCTCTGGGCTGCACCCTTGGCACGGAGGCAGTTCAGCAGAGGAGTTGAGCTGATTTGGGGGTGTCAGTTTGGCAGCAGAAGCTGGCTGGGAGCCTGTGCGGAGGGAAGAGAGAAAATGTTGGTTGGCCATGGGGTGTGAAGAGATAAGGTGCTGGAAGGATTAGAAGTGGTGTCGGTGCATGTAACGATGGTGGCAGTGCTGCTGGCAGATAAGACGTGTGACTCGCCAAAGGTGGTCGGCAGGCCAGAGGAAGGCTCGCGTGGAAGAGTTAACGAAGCGGAGGTGGGAATGAGTCCCTCGGCTTGGTCGGCTGAGGAGGCACTCGCTATCTGGCAGAACCAGACGCACACCCCACCCTGAACGGGCAGCTTAGCCACAAGCCGCGGCTCCCCACCCCAGCACGCTGGGGGTTTTGCAGCCCCTGGGTGAAGCCGGTGCCTCTGCCAAGCTGGGTTGCGGTGGTCTCGGACGCTCCTCCAACTTGCTGACTTAGCGCCGGGGCAAAAACGTTGATGGAGCTGCGTGAACAAACATGGCCATGGACTTCAAAGGCAAGGTTTAAGGTTTCAACTTGAGGAGGATGCGGTGGGCCCAGCTGCTCTGCCGGAACTCTTGCTGGGGCTGGATTCCAGTTCTTTACACTCCGAGGTTATCAGTAAACCACTCAAATTCCTGACTGAGCGGAACATTGAGGAGTAGCGCTGGGTTGTGCAACTGTGGGTAGACTTGCATTTCACAAACGATAGAATCGTTTAGGTTGGAAAAGGCCCCTAAGATTATCAAGTCCAACCATTTTGTGAGGCAGGAAGGCCCAGGTGGGTCAAAACGTAATGTGAAGATGGGGTGGGGGGGGCAGGGGGGCCTTTTAGCACCACCATGAGCGTGCGGTTCTGTTTTCCTGCAGGCATACCCAACCTGATCACGGCCGACATGATCAAAGAAGGAGCTGCAGTTATCGACGTGGGGATAACGAGAGTGCAGGATCCTGTCACTGCCAAATCGAGGCTGGTCGGGGATGTGGATTTTGAAGGTACGGAAAGGCTCTGCATTTGGTTCCATTAAACGTGAAGGGGGCTGAGAAGGGGAGGAGACAGTCCCGGTTCACGTGGCTGAGCAGATGCAAACCGACGTTTGCGTTCTCTTGCTCGGTGCATCCAATGTTGTGCCATAGGCGAGGGTCCCGCCTTCCTGCAATACACCACGGGAAAGCTGTATGCTGCAAGGCAGAGGAGGCTCGCCCCGAGTCTAAGCAGTTGGGTTGCTTCGCCTCTACTCCAATTCATCGCTCATACTCCTGCTTTTAAATAAAAAACACGCAGAACTTACCTTCTGGCTTGCTATTCACTGGCCTCGCTCACCACTTAGCTGCTGCGATGAGCCCCGCACCTCCGGGTGCCTGGCGGAAGGTGCTGGAACCTCCTCCTGCAAAAAGAGAGAGGGCGGCTGGTCGGACTGTTAGTACTTCATCGTGGATGCCCTCAAGGGCACGTGCGAAGCCCACCTCTAGTCTTGGACTTGACATTTCTGTGCTAGAAATCCAGCTATTGGACCATGTGCTTTGCTTTTCTCCCCCCTCCAGCTTGGGCTTTGCAGTTAGGCTTGCTCAGTCGCAGGGATGGACTGGCAGGCTCTGTCCTGCCCTGGCTAATGGGTGGGGAAAAAAGTCCACCTTGAGACACTTGTATTCCTTAGCTGGCGATCCTGAAGGAATTTGAGCAATGGTAAACTTGTTATGGCTTCTGGGCTTGCATGCTAAGCTCCAGCTTCCCTTCCTGCAGGGGTGAAGAAGAAAGCCAGCTACATCACGCCGGTCCCCGGGGGGGTCGGGCCCATGACAGTTGCCATGCTGATGAAGAACACCATCATCGCTGCCAAGAAGGTGTTGAAACCCAAAGAGCTGGAAGCATTAACCGCTTAACGTGGGACTCCTAGCACTGAAAACGACATTCCAAACTGAATCCCAAACAGGCCGACAGAAAATGCAATATTTTTATTTATTGTATTGGGAGTGGAGTTTCCTATTCCGAGGTTGTAGCTATTTATTGGAAGCTGAAGCATACGCACGTTAGCCGTGCTAAGGTGTAAGCGTTACACTCCTGGCCTGCTCACGCTAGCGAAGCTGCTTTGTGCTTAAGCCAGCTCTCCTAGGAAGCCGGCCCTGCTCTGCAGGGACCGGGCAGCGGTCGGGCTCCTGGGTGCGCAGCTGCGCCGGGAGCTCGCCGTGCCGTTAGCAATCCCATGGGAGGCAGAGCGCCGCTCCATGGTGCAAAAGCAACGGCCTTCGCAGTTCTGTTCTCGCAGATGCTCAGTCTGCCCGGACTGCTTGCGTTTGACTCACACTATTGTCTTCTACTCAACGCTGGATGCTTAGTTTGAGTTAAGCTCTTCTGTAGAAGAAGTTTCTTTGGGAAAAAAGCCATAAGCCTGCTCTCAGCCTGTCTGGGGCCCTGGCCAGCAGCAGATCTGTTGTAACTTGTTCTTCTAGTGTGCAGCTAAGCTGGTGGTCGGTGGGGTTTTTTTGTTTGGGTTTTTTTTTTTTTGCTATTTGGATGGTAACTTTTAAAAGCCTTTTTTTCTAACCAAAGAACAAGGGGCCGGGGGGCTGTTGGTCACACGGGAAGTTTCCTGGACTGTATTGTGAAGTGTGCAAGTACTTAGTGAGCAATGCAGGTAACTAAATATTAAAGTATGAGAGGAGAAAAAGAAAAAGAGCCTCTTCTGTCCTTGAATTATTCCTAAGCACATTTTTCACTTCTCCCAGAGAAGGAGAGCTGCCCCCAGCAACAGTTTATTAAAGCACTTGTGATACAAGCTCCGTCTCATCCCCACAGAACCGGGTTAGGTCTGGCTTTTTCCCTGAGTTTAGCTAAGACACAACTGCTGCATGCATCACCAGCTCAGCTTAGACCCAAGATGGTCTCTTACTCTCATGCCTGAACAAAACCTGTTCAGCTTCCTGCCTCTGTTCCTACATCAACATGACAGTAAAATCTTAATCCTCTAATGCGTTTATTTGCAAGTTCTAATTATCCACTGAACATGCACCTTACCTGAGGTTGCGATGCCGCGGGCAGGATGGAAAAACTTACACGCAGAATTGTTTGCGGGCAGCGAGGTAAGTCCTGGCCTCCTTCCTCTTGGCATATTCCCTGGAAAGACTGATCCCACCTTTCTGGGAACGGTTTGTCCTGATGCTAAAGGGCTGTTGCTGGAGGCACCGGGTGAGTCGGCGCTAACCCCGCACGCATGGCAGGGCGTCAAAATGCTAAACGAGGGGGAAGGCAAGCTGAGGTTCGAGGGCTCTGTGCCAGAAACACACTAAGAGCTGAGACTCATTGAAAGGAGGTTTATTGGGTTGTATCACCGATAAATACAAAATGGCTAAAGTGGTACTGTGATGGAGGTGGCAGATCCGAGCCGCTCCGCTGTTTTCATATACAAAAAGTATAAGCCACGTGTGAACCTTGCAAAATGGACAAATGTAGTCAAAACAAGCCGGATGCTAGAGTGGCTTCAGCTCTATGAAACATCTACCACAGTCCACAAAGCCTTTCCGGGGACGTCGTGGAGTAGAGCTGATGTACTGGATAAAGCAAATTAACCCATTTGATTAAAATCGTAAGCCTACCTGTACCACACTTCAGCTACCACACAGGAGATCGGTACAAAACGCTACAAACCGGACGCAATGCGTTCAAGTTGCAATAGTTCTGCACGTGAATGTCAAGCCACGCGGCTCTCACTTAAGTGGTGACGGGAGCAACACTGTGGTGGTTGTCTCGCCACGTTTCCCCGGGAGGTGTACTTGAACCAGAACAAATTGCTATAAATAGGAAACTGCATCCAGGTCTTTGTTGGACTCGACTATTTACAGAGAACTGGGATCTGTCCCACGCAAACGTTCAGACCAGTTGCAATATTTAACTGGCATCCCAGAAACCCCCGTACAGCTCGTATAAATACCGCGTAGGCTGCTTCTGCTCAGGGGAAGGGTTGGGGCTCTGTGAGGCTTGAAATAGAGCAAAAAAAATAATCCATGTAGCAAAAATGAGCAAAAGATTTGAGAGTGTTGCTTCAGCCCAGTGTTTCTACACCGCAGCTGGGCTTAGGCCATGGAAGGAAAAAAAAAAAAAACCTTTAAAAGCCTCATCACTGCCCTGGCACTGCTGGAAAAAAAAGTGGTGAGAGCTGCGCAGAGCCAAACCGAGCTCGGTGCCTGTGCTGGCTCCTGACCCGCTCCTTTCCCGGAGGACCCAAAGGCAGTGGCGGGTGGGAAGAACCCTTCGCTCTACACCGCAGCTGGGCTTAGGCCATGGAAGGAAAAAAAAAAAAAACCTTTAAAAGCCTCATCACTGCCCTGGCACTGCTGGAAAAAAAAGTGGTGAGAGCTGCGCAGAGCCAAACCGAGCTCGGTGCCTGTGCTGGCTCCTGACCCGCTCCTTTCCCGGAGGACCCAAAGGCAGTGGCGGGTGGGAAGAACCCTTCGCGGAGCCGGGCTCTCCCCTCCCTGTCACCAGCCGCTTGCTGTTGAACCGCGCGCGAATAACCGGGATCGAGGAGCTAAAGCGGGCGCAAAGCCCCCTGTGCAGGGGCTGGGCAAGCAGAGCAGGCTTCCCGTTGCCGTGGCTTGGACCGGCGTCCTCCTGCCAAGGCACAGCCAGATGCACCATCCCCTTCACGAAGCGAGACTCCCCAAGAGCCGCATTGTGATTTCAGGGACTGGGGAGCAGGGACGCGCGCTCCCCCTTCCTTCTCAGCCACGCAAACCTCTTCCCCGTCCCAAAAATCCCCCTTGAAAACCCCCCGGCACGGTCGCCTTCCCCATCAGCATCCCGGCTGCATTCGGCTTCTCCAGCCCAGCAGCGGCTCCGGGGTGAGCGGAGGCCAAAATCACCAATTCCACCTTTTCAGCCCCATTTCGCCACCAGCGGCAACACCTTCGCCCGGCAGAAAATTCAACAACGCGTTTAACTCGTGACGCTAAAAACT